GTGGATTTCCTTCCTCACTTTTTTGCACCTGTTAGCGACCTAGAGAATAGCAAACAAGCGAGCAACACCACTTCCAACAAATAACTTTACTCTGATTCCAGCGACGTTAAAAAAACAAATACACAGACATATCAAATCCGCTGCAAAGACGATGGCACAAATTTCCGCCGGCGTTGAACCTATTTCGGCTTAATATCCATAAACCAACTTTCCGCCGATGCCGACGTTTGCGCAATTCCAGCACCTGTCATCGGTGACAAATATAATCCGACCATATACTTTTTTCTACGGCCAATTTGCATCAATCGTCAAGATTATTCTCGATGGAGAAGATAATAAATCCAATCATCTTCCTTTTGTTGCGGCCAGTATAATCTGTTCCGAAATCCTTATGATAGAATTTTTGTTATTCTTCTTTCCGCAATACACATAACTCCTATAGCAAAAATTATAGTGTTGATTATCTTATTTCCATTAATTCAGCCCCTTTTTTATGGAAAATTCCCATTGATAACTTCCAGAATACTATTTACCTACGTAAAAAATAATTAAACCGAATTACTTGATTTTCATAATTTAGCCCTTTTTTCTCCGAATACAATATAAATACACCCCTAATCTTATTTCGTAACCGAAGGGGATATTATCTGATTTCACTCAATCCCCCAAAAATAGGCTTTAATTGAAGATACATACCGAATCGTCGTATAACTTCTGTAACATGTATTGCATATAACGTTTGGTGCTCCCGTAGAAATTAAACATACGAATATCAGAAAATCCTTATTTTGTTTTGATTAGACCTTCTACACTTTTTAATGCTCTTGGATATCGTGAAACCAATTCTGTCAAACTGGATAGCAAGAAAGGGACATTGGAAGTAGTCTTATTGTTCTCACTCCAGGGTTTGTCTTTGGCCTGGTAAGTTTTCTATTATTAAATTCTTTAATTCTGCATCTGATAACGGTTAAATTGTTACATAAAAGCATCACACTTAACTTTATATTTGATGAACAATTGGGGGTATTTCCTAACATTGATGCAAATTACTTAGTTCATTTTCATGTTATTGTTAGGAAAGGACCAGACTGAATAATTGCTGAAAATTGGAAGCCAAAGGAGCAAATTATGGGCTGCTGAGGCAAGATTGCTGAGCTGGACGAAAGAGAAGGCTCTTAGACAAGAAGCATCTTGTCATTAATAACCTTGCTTCCTCCTAGAGCATGTTGTCGCCCAGCCGCAATCCCAGCCACCACCGCTGATCAATGAGAGCAAAGCGGCCACTGCCAGAAGAAAGAAAAGGAACGGCCAAGTGGGTTGCAGGCTCAAGACATTGGGAGGATTAAACAACTCCAAGCATGGGGAGGTCCTCATGATGAAGACACCGGTTGCAAGGCACTATAAAGAAGGGACGCACTCTTACAAAAGGGGACAGATATCCATCTCTCCATCAGTCTCTGGTTAGCTTCTTAGTTGCAGAAACACTCAGAAAAACTCCAGATAGAAGACAAGAAAGAAGAAGAAGCAGCAACAACTCAGTGAGGAAGCTAAGTTGAAGAATAGCAACCCAGTTTCTTCTTCAGTTCCACGAGTGAACCCTTTCACTCCCAGGAGTGACTCAGAAACTGCACAAGCTTCCTTCTCATCTCTTGACTGTTAGCTTGAACTTTATTTATTATGCATACTTCTATGATGTCCTTTGATGTAGTAGATGTAGCATTTATCTGTATGAGTAGCTAAACAGTTCCCAGGGGTTATTCTCCTCAACTGATGTTGTAGTTGTCAAAGCACTGGTTTTGTTCCTTGTTTTATGGTTGAAAGTTTTTCTACATTCATCTACTTGATCACTAAATTGAATGCATGCTAGAACTAGGGGAGATCTGGAAGGATAAACTTGGTTTGGATTGTTTCAACTTTAACTTATGACATAGAGGTAACAGTCTATGGTTTTAACTAAGATAGGAATATACTTAGTTAACATAAGCATTCTTGAAGGCCTAGGAACTTATTGACTTTGTAGCTGGAATCAACCATTGGAAAATAGGTTGTTAAGGTTGTAAAGATGACTCTAGGAAAAATGGGAACTGACTTAGAGTTATAAGTGAGCTGAATGAACAAGAACTCAACCATTACTGTGCTAATAAAACAACTACAACAGCAGGAAGAGGAGAAGAACACCCCTGGCCCCATTCCCCTGAGTGACTGTTTTCATTCTCCTGAGTGACACCTTGTTGACTGACAGTTTTTCTTTACAACAAATTTGGTAATTAGCTGTCCTCATGGGATCGACCTAGCTTCCATTATCTACAAAACCCATAATCCAAGCTAGTAATATTTATCTTTTTTTTTGGTGAACTCGGCAAGCACCAGCATCATGTATTTATCTGAATGTTGGTATTCATATTAGATCGTCAATTGACGTTTGTTGTTATAATTGTTCCTTTTTTTTGTAGAAAATTCCACTGCCTAATGTTTTATCTGAAGGCCATAATCCCGGCGACGATATAACTCTAATGAGTAACGGCAGGGAGTTTAAAGTGTCATGCAATTACCTTGGTCAGCCGAAATCAATTTATTTATTTTCAAAAAAACTGGATGTACTTTGTTACAGAAAATAGGTTGGTTGTCGATAGTGCTCTTTTCTTCACGGTAAAAGAAATTGGTATTTTGGAAGTACACGTCCTAACCAAGGATCGAACACCGGCGGATAATTTATATCCTCCCATTATATGGGACAAATTCAAATATATCAAAAACTATATGGTACAATTTTCTCGATCACATGTTGTTTTTTAATGATAATTTTAATTTGATGTATATGTAACTATGATTCTTACAGTGTATAACAGATGGAGTAAGTCAATTTCAATTCCAGAACATGCGCAAAATGGCACAAGATCGACATACTGGAATGTCAATTATGGAACGTATAAATTTGGTGTTGATATGGTATATTCAGTAACAGACCCATCTGAACTAATCCTTGCAGGTGAATCTTGGAGAAAATTCATGTATGATCATGTTGATTTTTGTCCGAAGCTAAATCTGCATTATTAATTCATGTTGGTAGTGATGACACTACAATTTTTCAAAGAAAACGGAGTTCAGATCAGAGCTCCTTTGCCGGTATTAGGTCCATTTGGTTTTAGCATAACAATCGGTTTGAATCATTGCGTCCATACAGCAATCTTAAGCTACAAATGTCTTATTACAAATTTTATGTATTATTCCATGATATTTATTTTTCCAATTTTTTCGTTTTCCATTGTAATTAACTATATTAATTTCAGACTATACCAGCAAGTTTTTGGAGACAACATAAACGCATCACTACGAAGGGATTTGCTATCGTACAAATAAATGGTCGAATTTATTCTATGAACATTTTGAAGTTTTATGATGCAAGCTACACAGGAAAAAAACTTCAACAATTAAAGCTTGGAGGGAATTGGAGTAAACTCCATGATAATACGATTGCACCTGGAAGTGAATGTCAATTTGTTTTGGACATTGAAAGTGTCAAAACGAAGAAAAAAGACATCGCTTTTATTTTGATCGTTTGATCTATAGTTTGCTAATTGTGTAATTTTCAATTTTTAGGGTTTATTTTATTTGTTACTTAAATAAAATTGCTAATGTAGCCGTCGTCATTTTTTGTTTTTTTGCAGCTTACTTTAAAATTAAAAGAAAACATTTTTTTTACAACCTACCTTGATGGGGATAATTCATAATTTAGATGTACTAAATAGAAAAGTTGGAATATATAACGAAGATGTCGATTATGGGGGAAATTTGTGTTGTTATTGATGGTTATCAATAATTGAATAATGCATTATAATATACTCCTCTCAAGATGTATATTTCGGTAATATCTTGATCTTGTCAGTTACTTATTTGAATTTATTTTGTACAAAATTCAAGGAAAAGGGTTAACAAAAGTCATCATTATTTCGCTTATATAGTGATTTCAATCTCTATAAACAACTTATTGATAAATTAACTAACCACCTTTAAGTCGATGATCAATTAACCAAGCATTAACCTTAACTTTTTCAAGGAGTGTTTTTATCCCATCTAAACTATAATGGTAACTGGAAATCAATAAAATCCTATCAAAAAGGATTTTGATAATTATTTACATTATCGTCATGTCATTAATATTTAATTTTTTCCATATACATTTTAAAGCTATCACAAAGCATCATCATTGTATCTTTACTGTTTGTGATCTTTCTGTAACTTTTATTATTATGTAAGATTAGAATTATATCTTTTCCATGTAAATTTTCTCGGTATCGGAAATAGTGATCCTTCCACAAGTTTGGGATTATTTCTCCCATCCGTTTTTGTATACTGATGTGGATCATTTCTGATACTTTCAATATGACTTTCAAATTTCATATTTATCAAATCACCGTTATCATATCAATCTTCCAGAATGTCATGAAATCAAAAGTAAAAATCCGCCAATGATCCTTGCCTTATTTTTAATCACAGTTTAACTTCATTCATTAATTTCCCATGAATTACGCACTAATTTATACTTCAAAATTTGTTTAACATGCGTTGGACACTGATGATGATCTCTTTCCATATCGATTTCCGAACTCCGAAATTTGAACTTAATCGAACTGAGCTATATATCTTTTAATTCTTAAAAAGTTGTTCCTTTAATAAACTTTCAACTTTAAAATATTGGTTCTTTATTCTACATTTTTACCATATTTATCAATCACTTTATCCCATTCGTGCCAAATCCCGTCCTAACTTTTAAAATTTGAAGCATTCATGTAATATACATACGTTACGGGATAATTAGTATTTTTAAAATTTTTTTACTCCTTTAAATTCTGGATACATATTTCACGTATATCTGTTCTTAATATGTCTATATATACCTTATGTAAATTTCGATATGTCCACCACAAACATCTCTGCACATCAACTCAATACCCCACAAAAAATGACAAGTATCTTGTTTTTTTTTTATCGCTGTCACCATGTCGATATCGAGAAGATTGAATTCCGTCAAAGACTTGAACGGAAAAACTGGATGTGGTTGGATGATCAATGTGAAGTTGTGCCGGGTTTGGGATAGACATCAATGGAACAATCATGATGTAGTTGTTCTTCGTGAGATGATGCTTATGGATGACAAGGTATTAGATCGTTACCTTTATTTACTGTGCATGTCGTTATTTTAATAGGTCAATTAAGATGTTTACAATTTTTTTTATTTACTTCGATAAAACGTATATTAATTATTTATGAAATTAAACAGGGAGACAAAATTGTGGCTGCACAACCTCATGACCAGTTCAATCGCCTGGGTGATCTTCTTCAAGAAGGAAGTTCCAAGCAGATCTCCAACTTTGGATGTGTCAAAAACTCCGACAGATTCAAGCAATGTAGTCATCCTTTTAAGATTGAATTTGATGCAAGAACCGTTATTGCACCTGGTAATGATATCGTTACTAAGGAACATGGAGATGATCGTGGTTTCAAGTTCGTCAGTTTCTCCGACATCCCCAATTTCAAACCCCCGTATCCGCAGCTCATTGATATTATTAATTCGGACATTTCACAAATGATTTCCCTGTTTAATTTGGTCTATGCCTTCCTTGGATCTGGTGCTTGCCGAGTTCACCAAAAAATAAAGATAAATATTACTAGCTTGGATTATGAATTTTGTAGATAATGGAAGCTAGGTCGATCCCACGAGGACAGCTAATTACCAAATTTGTTGTAAGGAAAAACTGTCAGTCAACAAGATGTCACTCAGGAGAATGAAAACAGGCACTCAGGGGAATGGAAGCCAGGGGTGTTCTTCTCCTCTTCCTGCTGTTGTAGTTGTTTTATTAGCACTGTAATGGTTGAGTTCTTGTTCATTCAGCTCTCTTATAACTCTAAGTCAGTTCCCATTTTTTCTAGAGTCATCTTTGCACCCTTAACAACCTATTTTCCAATTATTGATTCCAGCTACAAAGTCATTAAGTTCTTAGGCCTTCAAGAATGCTTATGTTAACTAAGTATATTCCTATCTTAGTTAAAACCATAGACTGTTACCTCTATGTCATAAGTTAAAGTTGAAACAATCCAAACCAAGTTTATCCTTCAAGATCTCCCTTAGTTCTAGCATGCATTCAGTTTAGTGATCAAGTAAATGAATGTAGAAAAACTTTCAACCATAAAACAAGGAACAAAACCAGTGCTTTGACAACTACAACATCAGTTGAGGAGAATAACCCCTGGGAACTGTTTAGCTACTCATACAGATTAATGCTACATCTACTATATCGAAAGACATCATAGAAGTATGCATAGCAACAAAATTTAAGCTAACAGTCAAGAGATGAGGAGAAAGCTTGTGCAGTTTCTGAGTCACTCCTGGGAGTGAAGGGGTTCACTCGTGGAACTGAAGAAGAAACTGGGTTGCTACTCTTCAACTTGGGTTCCTCACTGAGTTGTTGCTGCTTCTTCTTCTTTCTTGCCTTCTACCTAGAGTTTTTCTGAGTGTTTTTAGTAACTGAAGGGGTAACCAGAGGTTGAGAGATGGATCCCATATGTGAGAGTGCCGTTCCCTCCTTTATAGTGCCTTGCAACCGGTGTCTTCATCATGAGAACCTCCCCATGCTTGGAGTTGTTTAATCCTTCCAATGTCTTGAGCCTGCAATCCAACTTGGCCGTTCCTTTTCTCTCATTGATCAGCAGTGGTGGCTGAGATTGCGGCTGGGGGACAAGCATGCCTCTAGGAGGAGGCAAGGTCATTAATGACAAGATGCTTCTTGTCTAAGGGCCTTCTTCTTCGTCCAGCTCAGCAACCTTGCCTCAGCAGCCCTTAAATTGCTTCTTTGGCTTCCAATTTTTAGCAATTATTCAGTCCGGTCCTTTCCTAACAATAACATGAAAATGAGCTAAGTAATTTGCATCAATGTTAGGAAATATCCTCAATTGTTCATCAAGTACAAAGTTAAGTGTGATGCTTTTATGTAACAATTTAACCATTATCAACTCCCCCAAACTGGAAGAATTACTTGTCTTCAAGCAAAACACTAAACTCTTGTTGGCACTTTCTGAATTGCACATAACAAATAGGAAAGACAAAATGACTGAAGATTGACTTACTCCCCTGAGTGAGGATTTCCACTCAGGTAAGTGACACTAAACAAGCAACAACCTTAAACACAACTAGATAGGTGCTGTCAACTTTCTGTCTCAGATTCAAGTGAAGAAAACATACATTTGTGGATACAAAATCTTTCTGCAATCCAGAGTCAAGCGACCAACCTTCACAAGGAATTAGAATGCATATGCCACAAGTGTTTGTTCATGCCAAACCTACCAATCCATTCTAAGTTAACCGGTTAAACTTTTGGTGGTCATTCTTGTGATCTGGTCTTGCCGGAGTTATTTGACTCGATTTACCTACTGAGACTTCAATCCTGGAGTTCCTGCACAACCTTTATGCTTTATTTATTTAGAAAATCTTTTTTTTTTTTTTGAATGGGATGTAAATGGACCAACCTACAGGGGTGTTATTCAACCTTATCTCTCCAGTGCCTTATACCTCAACCCTTATTACTCCAACAGTTTGGAACTTTTTGTGGTGGTTCCTTGTTGTTACCCCTAAGGTTTCGGTTGATCCATTCCCTAAGATTTTTTTTTTTTTTTTTTATAAACAAAAGCAAGCAGGCTGTGAATGGGTACCACAAAGGAAGTCTCAGATTTACGGCATTTCTCATCTAATTGTAGCTCAGAACTAGACATAGCTCACAACAGTGGATTAGTCATGCCAAATTTTAAGATTTATGTTCTAGGCATTCACTTCCACGAGTGGCATTGTTCATGTGTGTGAGTGAGTGTCAGCCATTTTTTTTCTTTCATGCATCAGACTTAGTATCAAAAAGTGGTTTAACAAAATTTTTTTTTCAAAACCATTATCATCCTAGACTGTTGACAGCTCCTTAGAAGATTTTCATTTTGAGAGATATTTTACAAAGTCAATCTAGACATGAACCTAATGGACCTAAATGGCATTGTCCTGACATTGACCGACCTAACCAAAAACTAAGTACAACTAACTACTACTGCATTACTCCCCCCAAACTTATTCTAAGCATTGCCCCCAATGCTTAACAACACCAACCCGGCAACAACAATAAACAGAAAACAAAAAGTACAGAAAACAACACATGAAACATAAAACAGGCAACAAATAAATTGCTGATTAAGGGAAGCAGAACAGCACTTCCCTGAGTGTTCATTGAGGCATTCCGTGAAGTGGGTGGACTGGCGGATCATGCGGCATTGGGCAGTTTTCAGGGCATCCAATGCACTTGTGCATTTCCTGCAGGAATTTCTCCGTCCTCGTCTGGCATTGGTGGACGTAATCCAGGATGAACCTGGTCTGCTTGTTGAAATCCCTCTGCTTCAATTGTCCAGTTGGAGTGGGAGTGGATGTTGTTTGTCCCACCCATGAGGCACCTGGGGGTTTCTGGTCCAACTTATGCATCCTCAATGGTTGCTGCAAGTTGCTTTCTACGTCGGTGTGCAGGAAGGTCACCCCGCCCTTTTGCTTAGCATGCTGACCATAACTGGGAAACTGGGAAATACCAGCTCTTCACCTTTGGATCAGTGATGCATCAGGTAAGTTGCTCCCAGATGACTGAGGCTGCATCAAATGGTGTGTCTGTGGCAATGGCATACAGCAGCAGAGCCATCTCGTAGGTGACCTTAGCAGTGTAGGATGTTGGCATCAGATTGCAGCAGATGAAATGGTGCCACAGATTTAAGTCAGGCGTTTGCAATGCGTTTGCTGGAAACCCCAAAGGGTTTTCTTGATCATCCATCTCCCAGCTTGTGGCCTCTTTTGCCAATCTGGACAGAATGGCCTGTTCCAGCGGTTGATTTGGATGCAGGGCAGCCAGGGTTTCTCTGTAATCAGTGCTTATTCTCGGTAATTTCCAGATGGCCCTGATGGCCTCTGTGCTGCAATTGACGCTGATGCCTCTGACGAATACTCCATCTCTGAGGGCAGTGTGGAAGTTGCCGTAAAATTCTTGCATAATCTGGATCCTTGGCTTGACCGGTGGTTTGGAGAAGGTCTCCCAGCCATGGCGCTTGATGTAGGCAAAAGCTGCACCATCTTCACTGATTCCCCTTTCTGGAATGAACTTTCGCCTTATGTGCTTCAGAAAGAAATCCCAACCCTTCTTCCTTGGAAACAACCTGGGCTCCCATTCATCTGTGATGGCATTAAGGGCCTGTTCTTGCAGCGCCCTTGGTGGTTGTGGAGGTGGCGGTGGGGTGGGTTCTCTGGCAGGGGATGCTGGTGGAGTGGGCGTTCTTTGCCGTTCAGGAGAGGGCGAGGATGAGGAGGATGATATCCTTCTCCTTGTGTTGGAGGCGTTTTTGCGGGCAGCAGCCTTTCTCCTTGCCGGCGGCATCTGTGACAAACCCTAAGAGTTGTGTTGGCAAAATTGAAAGAGGGGTTTTGTGATTGAATCTGAAAATTGCCTTATGTGCCTGGAAACTTAGAGAAATTGTTAGTATGTTCACACAGGGAAGTGGTGGTTGAAGGAGTGATTCTGGGATTAAGAAGAAGATGAAGAAGACGAAGCAATGAAGGAGTTATGAGTTAATGTACAGCAGTTAAAGTTTTTGGAAATTGTGGCTGACTGAAGTGACTCAAAAAGGCGGAAGTGGTTAAAATTGAAATTTGAAATTTTCCGAAAAAAATTCCCCCCCAAACTTAAATCATAACTGCAACCCAAAAGGTGACTTTTTGCAGAAAGTGTCGTACAGTTGTTCTCACTCAGGCGAGTGGACTTTTCCACTTACGTGAGTGACGTCAGGGTTAGAAAACTCTCAGAATTCCTTCCCGTAGGTTCACTCAGCTGAGTGACCTTCTTCACTCCTGGGAGTGAGTTTACCTGAGGCCTTTTATGTTACACCTTCTGAAATCTGTTGGGGTGGCAAATTCCTTGTCCAATCCTGCAAAGATTAAAGTAGCACATTATTAGCCATATAAAAGCAAAACGTATGGGTTGCCTCCCATAAAGCGCATTGGTTTTAAATCTCATGCCAGACTTCAAAAGAAATTTCAGTCAAGTTCCTTCAGGACCAGAACTTGATAGTTCTGTCCTTTACTCCCTTCTGTCCATCCAAGGTATGGTTTAAGCCTCTGACCATTAACCAAAAAGGTGTTGCCACTTTGTGGATTCATGATCTCCACTACTCCCTGAGTTAGGACCTTGTTGATTTTGTAGGGCCCGGTCCATCTTGACTTGAACTTCCCTGGAAAAAATTTCAGCCTGGAATTGTACAACAAGACCTCTTGTCCTTCTTGGAAGTTCTTCTTGACAATGTGTTGATCATGGTAAGCCTTAGTTTTCTCATTGTAGACTCTGGACGATTCGTATGCCTCTAGTCTGAATTCTTCCAGTTCATTCAACTGAATCAATCTCAATTCCTTGCTTTTGCCTGGATCAAGATTCAGTTCCTTGATAGCCCAGTAAGCTTTATGTTCCAACTCTACTGGTAAGTGGCATGCTTTCCCATAGACCAGTTTGAATGGAGACATACCAATGGGAGTCTTGTATGCTGTCCTATATGCCCATAAAACTTCATCCAACCTTGAGGACCAATTCTTCCGGTAGAATTAACTACCTTTTCAGATTCTTTTCACTTCCTGTTTGACACTTCTACTAGCCCGTTTGATTGTGGATGGTATGGTGTTGATACCTGTGCTGATTCCATATTTCTTTACCATGGCTGCAAATGACTTGTTACGAAGTGTGATCCTTCATCACTGAGTATCATCCTGGTGTACCAAACTGGCGAAAATATTTTTTCTTAGAAACCTGAGAACAGTTTTAGCATCATTGTTCTTTGCAGCTACAGCTTCTATCCATCTTGAAACGTAGTCCACTGCCAGTAGGATGTAGGAGTTCTCAAAGGATGACACGAAGGGACCCATGAAGTCTATCCCCCACACATCGAACAGTTCCACTTCATGCACGTTCTGCTGTGGCATCTCATTTTTCCAGGAAATATTTCCTATCCTTTGGCATCGGTCACAGCTTTTGACAAACTCTCTTGCATCTCTGAACAGGGTTGGCCAGTACAGTCCAGCTTGTAGAACCTTGATTGCCGTCCTTTGACCGTTGAAATGTCTACCATAGTGTGAACTGTGGCATTTGTGTAACACCTCTTTGAATTCAGATTTTTGAATGCACCTTCTGATCAATTGGTCTGCACATCTTTTGAATAAGTAGGGTTCATCCCATAGGTAGAGTTGAGCATCGTGCAAGAATCTCTTGCGTTGTTGAGGGGTGAGATCTGGGGGAATAACACCAGCAACAACAAAGTTAGCAAAATCTGCAAACCAAGGCCTGTTACCTGTCACTCTCATGAGTGTGCCTGTCACTCGCCAGAGTGACTCAACAGGGAATTTTTCTGAGATTGGAGTTGTGTCTTCTGGAATTTCTTCAAGCCTTGACAGATGGTCTGCTACTTGATTCTCAGCACCCTTTCTGTCTCTTATCTCCAAATCGAATTCCTGCAACAACAACACCCATCTAATCAACCTTGGTTTAGACTCTTTTTTGTTGATCAAGTACCTGATGGCTGCATGGTTGGTATAGACTATGACTCTCATCCCTAGCAAATAAGCTCTGAATTTATCAAATGCAAATACAATTGCCAGCATTTCCTTCTCTGTAGTGGTGTAGTTGACTTGTGCGGAGTTAAGGGTTTTACTAGCATAGTAAACCACATGTAACACCTTGTTCCTTCTTTGTCCAAGTAAAACACCAACTGCAAAATCGCTTGCATCACACATTAGTTCAAAAGGTTTTGACCACTCGGGTGTGATGATCACAGGTGCGGTGATGAGTTTGTTTTTCAATTCAGTGAATGCATTTAAACAGGATTCATCAAAAATAAAAGCAGTGTCTTTTTCAAGCAAATTGCACAAAGGTTTAGAAATTTTCAAAAAATCTTTAATGAACCTCCTGTAGAAACCAGCATGGCCTAGTAAACTTCTCACTCCCCTGACTATGGTCGGTGGGCTGAGCTTCTCAATGACTTCAATCTTTGCCTTGTCCACTTCGATTCCTTCCTGTGAGATCTTATGCCCCAAGACAATTCCTTCAGTTACCATAAAATGGCATTTCTCCCAGTTGAGAACCAGGTTGGCTTCTATACATCTTTTCAGTATCAGCCCAAGGTTGTCCAAACATGCATCAAATGACTTACCAAAGACCGAGAAGTCGTCCATAAAGATCTCAATTATGTCTTCCACCATATCAGAGAAAATGGCCATCATACATCTTTGAAAAGTAGCCGGTGCATTGCACAGTCCAAATGGCATTCTATTGAAGGCAAATGTGCCATAAGGGCAGGTGAAAGTCATCTTCTCTTGATCATCAGGGTCTATGGCAATCTGGTTGTAACCTGAGAAACCATCAAGGAAACAATAATACATGAATCCAGCTAATCTATCCAACATTTGATCAATAAAAGGAAGGGGAAAGTGGTCCTTTCTGGTAGCTTTATTAAGCTTTCTATAGTCCATGCACACTCTCCATGAATTGTTCAGCCTTGTTGGGATTAGCTCCTGGAGGTCATTCTTTATCACTGTGATTCCTCCCTTCTTGGGCACGCACTGGACTGGACTCACCCACTTGCTGTCAGAGATTGGGAAGATAATCCCTACATCTAGCAGCTTGATAATCTCCTTTTTCACCACTTCCTTCATGACTGGGTTGAGTCTTCTTTGTCCTTTAATGGTTGGCTTGGCGTCATCTTCAAGCAGGATTTTGTGCATGCATATGGAGGGGCTGATGCCCTTAATGTCAGCAATTGACCACCCAATGGCTTCTTTGTGCAATCTCAGTACTCTCAGCAATTAGTCCTCTTCAGTACCTGTAAGCATAGAAGAAATGATTACAGGTAAGGTGTTTCTTGCTCCAATATAGGCGTACTTCAAATGTGAGGGCAAAGGATTAAGTTTGAGATGAGGTGGTTCTTCAATTGAAGGTTTCAGGCATCTCCCTTCCTTGGTCAGGTTTATCAGTTCAAAGGGTTGCTGTGTAGGATGCCACTTGGGGGAGTGGTTCAGGTAGCTCAGGCAAGTGGCCCTGTACTCATCCCCTCCTTCCTGTTCCTCATTATAGTTTGGGCACCAAAGTTCCTTGAGGAGATCGTCTTGTAGTAATTCTTCCGTCAATGCTTCCTCTGCTTCTACATTTCTCACCATGTAGCAGTCGTGGACTTCAGCGGGATATCTCATATTTTTGAAGATGTTGAAGGTAACCTTCTCCCCATCAAAGTGCAGTGTGATTTCTCCCTTTTTCACCTTAATAATTGCATCGCTTGTTGCCAGAAAAGGTCTCCCTAAGATGATGGGTACATCCCTGTCTTCTTCCATGTCCAGAACCACAAAATCGGCTGGGTAAACAAAGTTACCAACTTTCACAAGAACATCATGTAAGATTCCTTTTGGGTAAGTCAGAGATCTGTCTGCCAACTGCAAGGTCATGTTAGTAGGTACCAGAAATTTGTCCAGATCAAGGGATTTAAATACAGACAATGGCATGAGATTTATGCTTGCACCAAGATCTAGTAATGCTTTTGAAAATTCTCTAATTCCTACAGTGCAATGAAGAGTGAAACTACCCGGATCTTTCAGCTTAGGTGGTAATTTCCTTAGGATAGCTGCACTACATTCTTCATTTAGAGTGACAAAAGCAGAGTTATGCAATTGTGGCTTATTTGCCACCAAATCCTTCAAGTACTTAAAATATTTAGGCATTTGTTTAAGTGCATCAACAAACGGTACATTAATATGTATACTTTCTAAATTTTGAATAAACCTGTTGAGTCCTTCATCCATTTTTGCTTTCTTCTGTCTTACTGGATATGGTGGCGTCGGAGCTGGCTGTTGTGGTTCCTTAATTGGTGTTGGAAATTGAATTCCCTCCATTCCAGGTTTTTCAGCGGGTTGCTCCTGTTCAACCATATCATCATTATCAGATATTTGCTCAGAAGAAGTTTCATTCTTACTGCAGGTCACTCGCAAGAGTGACTTCTTCACTGGCTGATTGAGTTGCTTTCCACTTCGAGTGACAGCCTTCGCTTGCTCTTGGTCATTCCCTTGGGGTTCACAATTGTGTCATCAAGGCGGGCTCCCGGATGGTCTTTCAGCATTTTGTTTTGCAATCTGGGCCAACTGATTTTCCAAACTTTTACAAGACACCGCCAAACTCTTGATTGCATTTTGTACAGAAATCCATTCATCTTCCCTTGGTATATATTGTTGGTTAGAACGTTGCTGATTCTGATAGTTGAGAAGCTGACCATCTTGTCTGTGGAATCCTGGGGGTTGAGCAGGCCTTTGATAATTTCCTTGTTGTGGAGCATTGTTCCAGTTGGTCTGTTGCTG